GCCGGTGCCTGTGACTGTGTTCAAAGTGGTGGGTTTTCACCCTCGTTGTATTGCGGAATAACGATTTAGGCAAATTGAGAAAAACATCATGTCTGTGGTTGATAATAGTGTGTGTGCATTAATTTAATTTTCTATACCTTCTTATTTAATATTTTTCCAATTTTGAGTACTGACGGCAAGTGTTGTAACCAATGTCTTGAGACCAATGTGCTATTTACAAGTGCGATCGAGAAATGCAGGGGAAAGAAACTTATCAATTATGTTTATTCTTAACACATAACTGAGCCGCCGTAAAAATGAACCGTGTCGAGGAGGTAACTGACACGTAATAGGGCAGAGACATATTTACACATATGTGTATATATGTCTCTGTAATAGGGTCATCCCTCGAGAACATTAATATATTTCTACAAACTTTCTACAAACTTACACTTTTTGCTCATTACTCTCTTTCCTCATATTTTAGCATTTCATTATTCTTTAATCTTTATTGTTTGCCCGTTATTCTCTATTCTGTAAACCCCGTTCCATACCCTGTTATGTGGACTTAAGCTTTCGGTAGTTTATTTTATCCTATTTCTGTCTAAATACATTATTTATCACAACAAAAAAAAACTTACTAAATATTTTTTTATGAAGTCCTCACCAGTTGCGGTACCAAAAAATGTCATAAGGAGGCACTAACTGTCATGCATAAAGAGGGGGCCCGCTTCAGTAATTCTCTAAATAATCAACCAATTTTTTTCCAAAAAAGGGGCGGCCCCCCATGCCCTCACCTTAATCCACCTCTAAACCCTTCCCACTTCGTATCCTTGAATTCAGATTCAAGATCTCTCTGACCTAAGTAAGTAAGTAAGTCACATTTGCTAATATCAGGTTTTTGAATTGAACTGGCGGATAGTTGTTTCATTACCAATCGTACCACATCTCCTTATTTATATATATACGAAAGCTTTATTCAAATTTTTGGGTGTATTGATGAATGTATAAAGATGCAGCAATTGTAATACATTTTAAAATACAGCACAAGAGATGCAGATTATATAAAACCAATCTCACTATACAAATCCTTGATAAAACTTATAAGTCGAAGACAAACTGACAAACGCCATGGCAAAAACTTAAAAACGACCAAATGACGTACAACAGTCTATAAAACTTGACTATAGCATTTAAAACACATAAGAAGCACCCAGACAGTCAAACAGAAATTAAAAGAATAAATAATTTGTAAAGATTTTCAACTAGGCCTACAGCTATATTTTCTTATCGTGTAACAGTAGGCTAAACATAGGTTCTGGTATTATGTGATAAGTCATTTTTTCATGCAGACCCAGTTTTATTGATACCTTGAACTTAAAGTGGTTTTATGCATATCAGCCCAGATTATGTGTGTAATTTTATTGAACAATTGAACAATACACGTTCTAAACAGGTTAAATTCAATTTAAAAATTTTCAAATTCAGATCTACTGGCATTCAACACCCAATTACTTACTTGCTGTATATTGCTAACTTTGATTGTATATTGTCAATCCCTCCACATCGTGAATACGCCATACGAGGTGTTGGATAAGTTTGATACAGGGTGGCGGCTTCGAAGCGTAGAAAAAAATCCAGGTAAATGAAAGTGTAAAATTTTGTTGTTGAAAATTTTAAGTACTAAATTCCTAAATTTGTAGTTGTTTGATATGAAAATAGGATAAAATGTATCCGGAAAAATTAATTATCACGTAATAAGTATTCGTAAATGGATATGAAATAACTTAACAAGGAATAAGTATTGGTAAACGGACAGAAAGTCGCAGGACAAAGGTTTAAATTAATTATTTTACAATTGTTTAAATATATGAGAGAAAGTTCTTGACGAATTGACTTTATTTATAGATAAATGTATTTAGTTGAGGAAATGATTAATTCGCCTTCAAATAGTTATTTTTATCAATAACTTATAAAAAGGAGACATTTTTGACAGCATGACTTCAGTTAATTACCAAACCACTTTGGCAGATTGTTTTCTTAACAATCATTGTTCATATTAGTATTCAAAAATAAATTTTGTTTACCGTTTCCTTTTAAAAATGTTTCAGAAAAATACTGAAACGTTTTTAAAGTTAAGTTTATTCAAAGAAAAAAGTATCCCAGACTGAATCGTGACTTTTTACTTGTTACTTTTTGTTGTACGTTCTAAGTGTCAATCCTAGCAAACACAAATTTGGAAATAAAATCGATTACAATGTAATTTTATAGAAGGAAAAAGGGGGGTTAATGAACAAATTATTACTAAACACTCACATACTTCTAAAAAGATTTGCATATGTAAGCTGTCTATAGATAATGTTAAATTATTTCAGGAGTTTCAATTAATTTAGGAGAAAAAAAAGATTATAAACAGTTTAGTTTTCAACGCCTACTACTACAAAAAATAGTGATTCTCTTTGTAGATTTGGTACTTCAGTTTCGACTCAAAATTTCCTATTGTAATTGTTAGATGCCAGATATTTAGGAGAAGATTGTATTTGTACTTTATGTAATTGTGGTGATATTGGCGACGCGATTCATAATATTATAGCAAGGATTTGTAAAAATCCTTGATTATAGAATGTTCGGCAATAGACGAAAGTAGACAAACCCTATTTAACGGTGTTTTGATCTCCAAGGACGCCACATTTTACATCGAATAAGATCTATATTTGTTAACGTTTTCAAATGAAATAACTTGAATTGAAAATTTCCCGACTATGTGAAGATTTCTTATATTTCTAAATGGCTTCAATTATTACATACAAAACGAAAATTTTATTTAACTTTTTTTGTAAAAACAATATTTCATGTATTTTTATAATTTTTCCAAGGAAACGTTTTTTTTTCGAATGTATACCCTCAACGCTCACTAAAACATATATACATGTCCTGAGTGACTTTTTATGTCCTGAGCGGTTTTTAGACGTACCGTTAATTTATAGGCATATATTTGAAGCTGTTCTTAATTATGTACATTATCTATAGGTATACATGTATCAGACAAAAAGACTTTCCAATGAACTTAGTTCTAGTTATCTTAGTTCCTAGTCACAGGCACTTGTCTCAGAAAAAAAATTTCCTATATACTTTTAATGTTATATTAAGCAAGGACTTTCTATACTAAGTTTATTTGCTACTTTTTTCTTCTTTATTTTATATAAATGATTTTTTTTTTAAATTTAAACATTTTTTTCTTCGAAAGATTTGTAGTGTTGTAATAGGGAATGGACACAGATACTTAACTACATTTAACGAAAAAAAATTTGTGTAATGTCATTATTCTGTATTACACATAGACAGGATGTTCTCTAGAAAACTATGATATTTCTAATACATTATACACACCCCAGGGTACACGCACTGTCGTAATGGAAAATTACTGCATTTAATTACCTGTAATCAGCCATGCAACGTTGACTGACCATGTCATTACAGTTAAAAAAGTTTTTCCTCAGATCAAAACGGAATATTCATTTTAACTTTAAAATTTAAAACTTTAAAAAGTATACTTTGATATAATTATGACGTAAAAGAATTTAACAATTTAATAATCGGATTTTTCCAAAGATTAAGATACAATATTATATTTATTATTCTGGGACTGACAGATATATCACAGGCACTTGTCTCAGAATTTTTTCCTATATACTTTTATTAAAGTATATAGGATTTTTTTTTTCTGAGACAAGTGCCTGTGAGATATATACATGCATAAGTCCCAGACATATATAATTGTAAATCAAAATGATTTACATAATTACTGGGAAATAATATAATGTTTCAGTTATGTTGATGTCACAAATACACATGAATTATTTGATGATGCATGCTGGAATTTCTTATCTAACTGCATGACTGTGACCACAGACATATATATATGTATATATCCATTTACTGATTCTATTATTTCTTGAGAAAAAAAATCAGGAGGGAAGTGAAACAAACATTTTAAGCTTTTATTAAAAATTGTTGGGAAAACAATAAAATACGACACTGAGTTTTGAAAAAAAAGTTTATGATTGGTCTTAATTTTTTTTTAATAAAGATAGAAACAATTTTTTGTCCCAAGAAAAAAAACCAATGCCCCCCTTTTAGCCAAACCGACACACGCCGATGAATGAAGAATTCCAAGTAGGGTCACAAGGTCACATTTTAAAACTTTTTCAGTCGCCCAGTCTCAAAAAGCAATTTTGACTGGCATTGTTTTTAGTCGAATTATGTTTTTGCAGGTCAGGTTGCAAAGTGGCAGGTCGGATTTGACAATGTCAAGTTGACAACGGTCCTAAAAAATATCCGAAAAAACGTTGAATCAAACGATATGAACCTACGCAGTTTTATATTATAAGACTGACACACACCAGTGTGCTAACTGTGCTGGGTGAGGTGAGGTGCTGTAACTTGATATACATGTATCATTAAGTTACAGTACTGTTAGGATTTGCCTGCCTTTTTACAGGGACTTTCTATACTAACTGTTAGTATAGACTGCCCCTGGCTTGAAAGTATGGTTCTCTGCTCATCATTAGCAAATCAAATATCTTGTAGCAGTAAAATACCTCCGGTGGGGGAAAGGCACTTCAATAGGTGCTAGGTAGGGGATGTCGCTGGGGTTCTGTTACCCCACCCTATTCATATAATTTAGATCTTAAAAATGTATACCTTTTCATATATTGCGTGGGTAAAATTGTAACCTTTTCCCATATTGGTTGGTTTTCGTGGGGTGTGTTGGAAAAGTGGAATATTTAAGGCTAAGATCCTGTATGTAATGTTTACTTACGGCGAGACTTTCGGCTGTGAAAAAATGACAGGGCTTTTCATATACAAGTAATTGGAACTTTATCGGCCTTATCATATATTTCTGATAGTTTTCCCCACCTATTTCCATATTTTCAAGCTGGAAAAAGTGACATATTCCAGCGGCACGTCCTATCACCTTGTATATAGGAAGTGCCCCCCCCCCCCCCCCCCCCCCCCCCGAGTAAAATACACAAATGTATAATACTTTAATTCAGGAGCACAGTCTGTCTTTACCGTAAATAACTTCGAGATTAATATGTAAGTTTACTTTGCTAATCGATGTTCCTGTAATTCAGATTTAAATTTATTTGTGAGACCCCCGTCACTATTTATATTCACTCAAAGAAAGGGGTTCTCCGTTACTGGGAAAATCCAACGACGTATTGTGTTAGTTATACGTCCTTGGAAAATCTTATCTGATTCAGGATCAATTTATCGGTTACACTCCCCTATCACCAGTGATTCTTTGTGAACTGACATTCTGAAAAAGGTATACTGTTGACTATCAATTTGCATGATTAGTTACAGATGTCGACTCGGACTACTGCAGAAGACAATAATTCAGTTCACTGATTTAGATTGAATAGTGGTTCGGTTAATCCCCTCTTCCCCAAACAAGTAAGAATTAGGTTACATCTTTTGGTAGTCCAAATAATTATGACGTCTAGCAAGGCTATTTTATTTTTTTTATGCCCCCGCCGTAGCGGTGGGGGCCTTTAGTTTTACCAAGGATTTGTATAGCTATACAAATCCTTGGTTTTACCCTTGTCCGTCTGTAGGTACATACGTCCGTACTCAAAATTGGTTTTCCGTTCTCTAACTTGAGTTTGCCTCAACCAAATGTTATAAAACTTATACACAATGCTTATTACCACAAAACACAGATCAAGTTTGAATTTTGGTGGTGTCACTTTAACCGTTCTAGAGTTATGCCCCTTTATAAATGGAAAAATTGCAAATTTTTTATTTTCTTCTTAATATCAAGTAATTTTTAAAATTGGAATTATCTTCCTTTGTCCATTATTATAGTTGAATCAACTACAATCAATGCTTTATACAATGCAATGTTTAATTTTGACTTCCACTGATAAAACACAGATCAAGTTGAATTTGGGTAGTGTCACTTTAACCATTATTGAGTTATGCCCCTTTATAAATTGTAAGATTGCAAATTTTTAGTTTCCATTCTGTAACTTAAGTTTGCCCCAACCAAACATTATGAAACCTATACCCAATATTCATTACAACAAAACTAAGATCAAGTACAAATTTTTTGTTTCCGTTTTCTAACTTTAGTTTCAATGCCTCAACCAAATGTTATGAAACTTATACACAATGCTTATTACTACATAATACAGATTAAGTACGAAATTTGGTGGCGACACTTTTACCATTCTTGAGTAATGTCCCTTTATAAACATAAAAATTGCTGAATTTTTCGTTTCCGTTCTCTAACTTTAGTTTGTCTCAACCAAATGTTATAAAACTTATACACAACCGTTCTAGAGTTATGCGTGATTACAAATAGAAAAATTGCTGAATTTTTAGTTTCTGTTCTCTACTTAAGTTAGCCTTAATGAAATGTTATGAGACAAAACTCAGATCAAGTTCAAATTTGGGTAGCGTCACTTTTACCGTTCTTCAGTTACGTCCCTTTATAATTTTTCTATCTATCTATCTTCATATTTCCGCACCCATGCAGTCACAACTTTGACTATTACGTGCCCAGAAAAAAGTTAAAATAGCCTTGCAAGACGTCATAATTATTTGGACTATTCTTTGGGAAAATATGGTCGTACCACAGGGGTTTGTTACAATTTGCCGGGTTTTCTATCCTTACGAACCCTGAAAAACTTACCAGGCCAGGTGATAAAAAATCTGTCTCCCCTTTTTATCCCACCAGATAATCAAAAGGTTGTCTCCTTACACCTACATGACAAAAACATATACAAATATGGTATCATTGCCAATGTGACTGCTCTTCAACAGAAACTAAAAAAATAGAAGTAAACAACTATATAGGTCACCGTACAGATTTCAACAATGGGCTAAAAAGCCAAACTGCGTAATAAGCTACAAAAGGCTAAAATAGATAGACAATATCTGACAAGGGTAGAAACGTTCAGAATGTTGAAAAAAAAATCTACTGTCCATTTGCATCAAAACTGGCAGCTGACTCATAGGAGTTGTTGCCTTAAATACAGATTTTCACCATTTTTTTTTTCTTCATATTTCTTGAATTTGCCTTTTTATCTCGAAAACTAATAATTAAAGAGAAACTTAAATCTTATTAAAAAGTTATTGCTTTTCAATGATGATTTTGATCCAGTTTTTGAAAAAACTTGGAAACTTTAAATCTTGGGTAAACTCCTTATATTATACTGCCTGGTCTCATGGTAGCGTGTTCACCTCACGTGCAGAAGGTTGTTTATTTTGAACCCAACCAGGTAAAACCAAAGACTTAAAAGTTGGTATTTGCTGCTTCTCCCCTAAGCACGCAGTATTATTAAGGAGTAAGAGCAAATACTGGTTTGTTCAGAGCCAGAATAATGTGTCTAGTATAAAAAGTCCATGGATACAGAATTTACTAGTATATTTAGTCCGATGTCAGTAATTTATGTCCCCAGACTAATTTTCCTAATCCATGACATCACTATTCCTAGGTAAAAATGTCCAGTTTTTCTAATACTGTATGCAACATGTCAAGTATATTTGGTGTATGAAAATTTTTAAGGATGTACATGTTAGTCTGGCATGTTTTATTCGACCTTGACCTCATTTTTATGGTTCATTGCTCAATGTTATTTTTTTGTTTTTTGGTCAGTTTTTCTATTTTCTTATTTTCAAATTAGCAATAGGTCAACTATATTTGGTGTATGGAATGATTGTAAGGTGCATATGTCTGACTGAGAAGTTTCATCTTACCTTGACTTTATTTTCATAGTACATTGGACAATGTTTAGTTTTTGTGGTTTTTTTCAGATACTGTAAGCAATAACATGAATAAGGCCCCTATATTTGGTGAATGGAATGATTGTGAGATGCACATGTCTGTCTGGCATGTTTTATATGACCTTGACCTCATTTTCATGGTTCATTGGTCAATGAAAGGTTTGCATTGTTTTGTCAGTTTATATGCTTTAAGCAACAGGTAAATTATATTTGGCAGATGTAACGATTGTAAGGTGTGCATGTCTGTCTGGCATATTCATATAACCATGATCGCATTTTATGGTTCTTTGGTCAATGCTAAGTTTTCTTGGTTTTTCATATATTGGTATGACGTTGGCGTTGTCGTCATCCGAAGACACATTGGTTTTCGCACTCTAACTTTAGTTTAAGTGAATGGATCTCTATGAAATTTTACCATAAGGATTGATTTTGGGGGTTATGGTACCAACAGTTAAGGAATTAGAGGCCAAAAAGGGGCCAAAAATAAGCATTTTTGTAACTTCCAGACATAACTTGTGTGTTAGTGTATGGATCTCTCTGACATTGTACCACAAGGTTTCATATCACACAGGGAATGCTGGGATTGATTTTGGGGGGTAATTGCCTCAAAATATTAGGAACTAGGGGCCAAAAAAGGGGCAAAAACAAGCATTTTTCTAGTTTCATGACAATAACTTGTGTGTAAGTGTATGGATCTTTCTAAAATTGTACTACAAGGTTCCATATCACAAAGGGAAAGCTGGAATTGAGTTTGGGGGTAATTGCCCAAAACGTTTAGGAATAAGGGGCCAAAAAGGGGCCAAAAATAAGCATTTTTCTAGTTTCCAGACAATAACTTGTGTTCAAGTGTGAGGATCTCTCTGAAATTGTACTGCAAGGTACGATGCCACAAAGGGAAGGCTGGGATTGATTTTGGGGGCAATTGCTGTAAAATTTTAGGAATGAGGGGCCAAAAAAGGGGCAAAAAACAAGAATTTTTCTAGTTTCATGACAATAACTTGTGTGTAAGTGTATGGATCTTTCCAAAATTGTACTACAAGGTTCCATATCACACAGGGAAAGCTGGAATTGAGTTTGGGGGTAATTGCCCAAAATGTTTAACAAAAAGGGGCCAAAAATAAGCATTTTTCTAGTTTCCAGACAATAACTTGTGTTCAAGTGTATGGATCTCTCTGAAATTGTACTGCAAGGTACTATACCACTAAGGGGAGGCTGGGATTGATTTTGGGGGTAATTGCCTCAAAATTTCAGGAATAAGGGGCCAAAAAGGGGCAAAAAACAAGCATTTTTCTAGTTTCAGGACAATAACTTGTGTGTAAGTGTATGGATCTTTATGAAATTGTACTACAAGGTTCCATATCACAAAGGGAAAGCTGGGTTTGAGTTTGGGGGTAATTGCCTTAAACGTTTAGGAATTTGGGGCCAAAAAGGGGGGGAAAAAAACAAGCATTTTTCTAGTTTCCAGACAATAACTTGTGTATAAGTGTATGGATCTCTCTGAAATTGTACTGCAAGGTACCATACCACAAAGGGAAGGCTGGGATTGAGTTTGGGGTGATGAATCATAAGGAGGTTCAAAAATTGGGGGGGGGGGGGGGAATCTTTTCCCCATTTTTTCCTTTTTTTTTCTTTAAAATTTTCCATTTTAAATTGGTTATTTCTGATTTATATATAAAAGCAAATAATAATGATATGGTTTGAATAGGTAAATTAAAATTTTTTAAGTTCTTAGACCACATTCATTCTGTGTCAGAAACCTATGCTGTGTCAAATATTTAATCACAATCCAAATTCAGTGCTGTATCAAGCTTGAATGTTGTGTCCATACTTGCGGCAACTATTCAGGATTTGACCTCTACGGTCATATCAAGCTGCGCCCAGCGGAGCATTTTATTCATTTTATCAGATATTATAAGCATATGTCTACTTGTTGGTGTATGGCATGACTGCAAGGTGTCATATAAAAATAAGAAGATGTCTGTCTGCCAAGTTTAATATTACTGTGACCACATTTTCATAGAATATTGATAATATCAAGCAAAAAAGATGAGCAAGACAAGATACAAATGATCCAAAATTGTCAGTTGCCTACTCATTATGTAATAGTAGTTATTGTCATTAAATGATAATGTTTACCCTTTTATGTGTAGGGCAAGAACATTAAAGATAAAGGGAAACTATAAACAAAAGAAATTATCAACAAAAATAGATTTACAGACGTCAACAAAGCCTAAATGGTAAGTCCACTTCTATAAAAGTTATTGCCCTTGAATAATGATTATTATGAAAATAAGATGTGGTATGATAAATGAGAAAACTATCCACCAGAGTTCAATTAAGTTGATGTAAGCAATGCAATTACTTATTAGAGGCCAATGATGACCTGTAAATAATGACAGGCAAAATATGGCAGGGTTGATATAAAAATAAGAAGGGGTACAATTGCCAATGAGACTTTTCTCCAATAGAGATCAAATGACATTATATTTAACAAAATTAGTTTCACTGTACAGCCTTCGACAATGAGCAAACCCTATACTGCATAGTAATCCATAAAAGGCCATGAAATAACAAATGTAAAACAATTCAATAAGGGCATGGCGTCATTTAAAAAGGGCATGGTGTCTATCCATGCTAAACATGCTTGGGGGAAACACCACAAAGGTGAAAGCTAAGTGCCTGATTTTTGCACAAAACAATAAACAAAAAACAAATATGATATATAGCAACAATTGACAACCACTGAATAATAGACCCCTGACTTGGGACAGACACTTACAAAATGTGGCATGGTTTAACATGTTTGCTGGTGCCAAATCCTCCTCTAATTAAGGACAGTGGTGTAAGTGTCAGTTCAATATAAAAACTATAAAATCAGTTGAAAAGGGTTTTTTTCTGCTCTTGGGTCAGGTTATTTTGATACATTCCCGTTTTCATTCTCAATTTTATTAACTCATTAGAATGCAACAAAGCAGAAAAACAGCTACCAAAAACACAGACCGGATGTGGTTGGAAATTTATTCTTTCCCTTTAACAAAAAAGACTCAACATACAGATCTATTAGTACTCACAGTTACTGACAGCTAATTCAAAGCAAATATCAACTAATAAAATAAACATTTAGTGAGCACCCAACCCACCCCTAACCTGGGACAGTGGTTTTAATAACAGCACAACATTTGAACAAACTGTAAACATTTGTTGCAACTGGCTTAACTCAAAAGACTGCAACAAGGCACAAAAAACAACTAATATGAAAACCATAGACACAAAGCACTGAAATAAGAGTTCTTACAATTTTAAATATTCAAATGAAATTTTTATCAAAATGTACATAAACATGATAAAATAGCCATTTTATTGCTGTATTTCTCTTCATTTATAAATTTTGAGTTTTGTGTATTTGTAGGTCAGACATCTTGGTTTTCATGATCATCATTCAACAGGTCAATACTGAACAGCAAACTTAAAGTGGATATTTTTCTACATAGTGTGACTTTTTTATTAATTTGAAATGGAATGTGTTTTTTTTCCTACATAAGAAAGAGGAAATTTCAACATAATGACTATAAACAAAAAGGAGTCATATCATCATGATCATAGATGCTCAAGAACTTAATCATGTAAATGCAACAACGTAATTATCAATTGAAAGAAGGGAGGAATGAAAAAATATATTAGTATTTTGTTGTCCAAATGAACTTGCTTTGTCCACTCATTTAAATCGTTCCATCCAATAAAGATGTACGGAGGAAGATTTTTGAAGTACAGATTGCAAAAATGTTTTGTCTAAGAATTGTAAGAATATTCTAGTGGATGAAATAATTTATTTACTTGACTCTTATATAGTGGACTGAATAATTGTTCATAGCAAGCTGAAACAAGAAAACTAAAAATTAACAGGAAAAGTGTTTATTTTATAAATTTACAAATATAAATGTAATATTATGAACACCACAAAGGAATAAGATTCAAATCGTTTGCATATTCATGTATTGCAATGGAACTATAACAAAGAAAACTTTACCTCATGAAAAGAGTAAACTATTAACTGTGCTTTGTCAATTTATTCAGTCAGAATATGAAATATTTTTTTCAGTTCTATTTTTCATAATAAAACAAAGAAGACAAAGATTTCAAATCAATATTTTTTTCTTTTATTAAGACGTCATCATTTTATTTCAGTTAAAGGATTTTATTTTTTGACTTTAAATATTATTATATTTCCAAAATAATAATAATCTTTATTGCCATATAAACAAATTAAAAACATGTTTGTGACAAAATGAAAAAAACCAAAATACACTCATATATATATTATAAACTTTTTACTACCAAACAGAATTCATTGTAACATACACATTACTGTATATTTATAATTTGAATTCCATAGGATTTTATTTTGTCCCATGGGATATTAAAAATCCCATGGGATAATTATAGTCCCATGGGATTTTTTTTGTCCCATGGGACAACAAATATCCCATGGGACTACAATTATCCCATGGGACCCAAAAAAATCCTATGGGATTTAACCAAAATCCCATGGGATATTGAAAATCCCATGTTTTTCTAAATCAAATTACAAAATATATATAATAATAACAGCAGAAAAGCAATGAAATTATTGAATCCCATGTAATTCCGCACATTTTGGTTATTTACACGACACTGTAGGTCTAAGGAGAGGCGGCGGCGGATTTGCAAATGAGTGTTTTGCAAATTAAAAGTGTCCAGTGTTCTATTATGAAGTAGTGAAATAATGGTTTCAGTTATATAAGTATTTTTTAAGATCATGTATTGCTGTTCGTTTTACTCTTTACAGTTTCTGTCTGCCTATTACAATTTACAAGACGATAACAGAAACACTAAAAATTGGTTTAGAATCGTTATTTTAGTACATTAACTCAAACGAAGAGTCAATTGGTGGTTTCAACCATGATTGGTGTTGTTTTTATGTCGATTTTGTACTGATAATCATTGTTGCTTTTTACAGATTCTTTCTTTATATTATCGTTTTGAAGACAATCGTCAAAATTGTAATTTAAAGACAATAACTGTTCCAAAAAGTCAATAAACTCATCAAAGATACCAGGGTTTCGTCTACAATAGACTCACCAGTCACGCTTGAATCAAAAAGGCTATAAAAGGCCATATAAAGTACCAAGTTAAATATGACGGTTCATTTAACATTTTATACCATTCGTGCGTCCAAAGCGCTTTTTGGATTTACATTCATCGGTACGCTCAAACCCAAACATTTGAAAGGATGGTATGTACAAAAACGTAGAAACGTTAAGAATTTTTTGACAAAATAGGACCTAAAAGAGATTGCTAAATTCATCAAAGGTCAACTTTGCATGTCAAAAATCGCCATTTAAGTGCAATAACTAATGAGTCAATTGATGATTTCAGTCATATTGGCCTTTTCAAATCTTTTAATGATGATCATTGTCACTGTTAACAGTTTCTGTGAATCTAGTAATATAGCTTTTAATATATGCCCAAAACTGTCAACACTTATTTTGTCGTGCTGTGTGTACTCAATATATATGCGATATCAAAATGTTTGTTATACCTTATAAACCAAATATATTATAGCTATAAAATTTATAATTAGGAAAAGCCACGGTCGATTTAAAAAAAATCAGATCATGCTTATTTGATGAAAATGTGATTGCATGTGTAACAGTAAATGTGGTCCGGTAGTAAAATGTGTCCGCCAGACTTTTTTTCCTAGTTAATCAAGTCCATGACCATTATTTTACTAGGAATGTAAGTCCCAGGACAAATGTTCCTAGGAAAGTAAGTCCATAGCTAGTAAAATATGTCTGGCACTTATTTTCCTAGGAAAAATTGTCCTAAGACTTGTTTTTCTAGTAATTTTTATATTATAAAAATTATTGAAAATAAAAAAAAAAAATTTTCTAAGTTAAGATTGGAAAGTTTCATTAATTTGTTTCCTGTTTAAATAAAGGACATGGACGTTATAACCTAGTCTGGGGACATAAATTTCATTAAAATATTAATGCACAAGTCTTCAACAATATTAAAACATAAAAATTAAATTTCCATTGTTTACATGTAAATAATTTGTTTCATTAAAATTTTCCTTTTAAAAAAAAGGACATGGTCGTTTTTACCTAGGAATATTAATGACATGGACATGATTTCCTAGGTAAATTAGGCCGGGGACATACATTTTATCAAAAATATAAATACACAACTTTTATACAATATTAAAAACATAACATTTAAATTTCCATTGTTTAAATGTAAATAATTTGTTACATTAAAATATTCTTTTTAAAAAAAAGGACATGGACGTTTTTACCTAGGAATATTAATGACATGGACATGATTTCCTATGTAAATTAGTCTGGGGACATACATTTTATCAAAAATATGAATACACAACTTTTAAACAATATTAGAACATAACATTTAAATTTCCATTTTTTAAATGTAAATGATTTGATTCATTGATATTTTTTCCTATAAAAAAGGACATGGACGTTTTTATCTAGGAATATTAGTGACATGGACTTGAATTCCTAGGAAATTAGTCTGGGGACATAAATTACTAACATCGGACTAAAAATACTAGTAAATTCTGTAACCATGGACTTTTAATACTAGTAATATGTGTCCGCCCGGACATATTTTACCAGGACAAATTTATCTCTTACACATGCTTTAACATTTCATTTTAAAACCTGTTGTATTTTGCAAATATAAGTGTCTTCTTTTTTGACGTATTATAGCAAAGGGAAAACGTCCCATAAAATAATTAGCTGTTTGTCGCTTTATTACAGTTAAGACCAAACAGAATCAAACAATAATCGTTAAATCTGCATCACAGAGTCGGAATGTAAAAGTTGAATGACGTAATGTAAAATAAATGAAAAAAAGTCGAAACAACGTACTTGTAAAGATTTTCAAATTAAAATTACCTTTTACAAAATTTTTGAAATTATTTTAAATCAAGGAATATATCTCCCCATGCAAAGCTCGGTTTCTATATTTTATATTCGGCTTTGGCTATTCTCTTTGTCCTTTTTGGTTTATAAGCTCTTCTTTTTTTTAATAAGTTTTGGATTTTTAAATATGAAGCATCACTGGAGAAACATTTGTTTTCGAAATGCGCATCCGGTGCAGAAAAAATAGTAACGTTAATGTCATTTCAAAATTCTACCAAGTATTCGTATATAAAAAAATATGTTCAGCCTTTAAATTATTGTTGAAGACCATTTTTGATATTACCTAATGCAATTTTACATGCTTTTGTGTGATATTTTATATTGAAGGACATTCTGAACCAACATGAATACCTGTATATCTAAAAGAAAATATAGGCTGTTCCTATTGATAAAATGTTGTTTTTAGATTAGAATGTTTCAAAGTTTGGTTCTCTTTGTAGAGACATTCTTAGAATTTGGCAAATATCTATTAAGAATAAAAAACAGGCAATTATAATACGCCAACTCGACATTTGTTTCAATCGCGGAGTAGGTTTCGGGTACTAAATGCATTGTTGTATGGTCTACAAGAAAATAATCTTGATCTATGAATACAACATAGAATACAGTTAACAGAGTACTTACTTGTATGTGAATGTGTATAATTGATATAGGTGGGATTTGATACTTCTCCGTTAGCTGTAAGTGCCTTTACAAAAATAGTATAGGAAAATCCAGGAACAATTGGAAATATTTCCACATTGTCCGTTGTTGCACCTGAAACTACTTTAGTTTTGTAAGATTTGAATGGTGAACTGTTGAAATAAACTCTATATCCAGTTATAGTATAACCACAGTTTATTTTTGTTGTATCCCACGCAACAATTAAAGACTTGGCTTTCTTGGTTGTTACTTTGATCCCGGAGGGGTCTGTTCCACAAAATGCTGAATGATAAATAACATGTTTAGTTGTCGAATTAATATAATGTTAAAACAAAATATCCCTCATATGACAATATACCGTTATATATAAAGGCAACAGTAGTATACCGCTGTTCGAAACTCATAAATCGATAGAGATAAAAACAAATCCGGGTTACAAACTAAAACTGAGGGAAACGCATCAAATATAAGAGGAGAACAACGACACAAAAAAAACACAACATTAAAAATGTAACACACACAGAAACGAACTATAATATAACAATGGCCATTTTCCTGACTTGGTACAGGACATTTTAAGAAAAAAATGGTGGGTTGAACCTGGTTTTGTGGCATGCCAAACCTCCCGCTTTAATGGCAACGTCAAACACAACACCAAAACAACAACATCACATGACAGGACAACAATACAAATAAATGGGAGAACATATAGGACAAAGAAACACACGAATAATAGCTAACAAAAGGTACTAGGCTTAAAATTCAATACGCCAGACGTGCGTCTCGTCCACACAAGACCATCCAGTGACGCTCAGATGAAAACAGCTTGAAAGCCAAAACAAGTACAAAGCCGAAGAGCACCGAGGACCAAAACTTTCAAAAAGTTGCGCCTAACACGGCCAGGGTTTTCTGCCTGGGACAAGAACATCCTTATTATTTAGAATAATTTATAATTTTGCAAACAGTAAATTTTATAAAATGACTATATAATAGATATACATGATAAAACCGAAGTGGGGACTTACTACAGAATAAAAACGGATACATTACATAAAACAACTTAATCCAACATATAAAAATACACAGCCGAGTTAGCCAAAGAATCAACGCACCAAGTTACGTCACATATGAAATTCTAAAAAAACACACAAAGTGACGTCACATTTGAATTTGTAAAAATATTTCCCAAAATAAGATAGGATTAGGATTGATTCAAGATTAGATTTGTAATACTGACATTACATATATTAATATTCTTTTTGCCTACAAAAGGAGGTAGTTATATCGTATGTGCAGCTCCCAACAAACCACGGGCCGAATTTCAGTGAAAGATGATGAATCTTCATTGTTATCATTCAAGTGGAAGGGCAAATTTCCCCTGATTTTTTTCACTCTCAGGAACAAAATCAGAAATGAGCCTACTGTAATTTGCATAGCATGGAGTTTATACGTTTATTTTATATTTAAAACATTTGTCACCAATAAAACATATTTCTATAAAACCAAAATTTTA